CTAGTTTTTATCTGTATGTTGCCTAGCCCGGTAATGCTTAAAAATATATATCATTGGGTCAAAAACGACATAACAATTTTTCGCGTTGGGGCTTGCAAAACCGTGAGCTTCCAACAGGTTTAGTCAGCTGAATAACCCCCGCTAACCTGTATTATGCCCATCAGCATCCAAAGACACGTTTTGGTAATATGCACGACAAAGCTACGCGTGTGTTTTATTATTTGTGGGTTCATAAAAGGTATAAGCAAGGAAAATGGTTGCAAAGTGGCAAGAGCACTCCGATGTGTTTTCCCTGCCAAAGTTATGAGACGGCCTGAATCATAAAGAACATGATGAGTTGTTGTGGCTGATAGGATTCGTTGAGCGTTTGCTTTGCTGATTAACTTTTTTTGTGTATTCTTTGTGGGAAAACTAATTGAAAACCTCGAGAATGAAAAATGTATTTCCGAAAAGCAATGTATTTTCAATATTTGGCTTAGGTAATTTCAAAATGTTCCGATTACATTTTTGTCAAATTTCTGTGTAATTGATTTTATTTTCTGTAAAATGTATTTTTTGAAGACTTTTAATATTATTTTATGCCTGATACTAAAAGTAAAAGAATATTATGAATTTGGAAATACTCATTTAAAAGCGTAGGACTCCTAAAGTATATATATACCATATTCTTGATCAAGATCATCAGATGATAAAAACGCAGTGAATGTGGTTTTAAAGAATTTATGCCAGCCAGTTTTGGAGGCATGCCACGCCTACTTTTAAGTACGCCAGCCCGGCTTTCTCTATAGAAGTCAAGTTTTTCAAAAAGTTGTCACGACTGTCAAAATTATTCATCAGTGTAACGGGTATCAGATACTTAGGGTACTCGACTCTAGCGTTCTGTCTGGTATTCGCCCATTCGCCTCTTACCATCGTAAGAAAACAAGAAAGAAATTCGACTATACTAACAAGTATATATATATATATAAAATAAAATAATATTTATAACTGATTTGCAACCAGACTTTGATACAATGCGGAATATGTTGTTATTACGTATTCTTTAAGTGTACACTTAAGAAAATATTGTCAGCCAGTCTTATAACGATCGGGGCATAACACCCGAAGTTTTAGCTTTTTATTTAATTAAATTACATTTGCATTGGAAACAACCACTTAAAATGGCACCAGACATTAATGATATACTTTTTTTATGTTTTGATTTTTGAAGAACCGTTCTCGATGTATAACGTGTCCACCCCAAGTTACCTAAAAGCAAAGGGTCTCCTAAATATTAAATATAAGATTTAATTTTATGTAACATTTTTGAACAAAGCAATAAGTAGGGGAGAGTGGTCCCATACCGACCGGTCGTACCATACCGACCCCCCCCATGTTTCTCAGAGATGGCGATGCTAGCCGAATTTTCGGTAACTTCAGTGAAAAGCTGTTATAACACAGACATTTTGGAGATAGAAAGCCAATTTGACTTCTTTTGTTTCACTGCAATTTTTCCGTTTGTTTTGTTTCAACGCCTGTGACATTCAGTTTTTTTTCGTTACTGAACTTGAGCTTAAATATTTTTAAAGTTTTTTTTCTTCGCATAAAAATCGGAGGGTAAGGTTTTCTGATAGTTGATAGTCCTAGCTGTCATTCACGCTATTAGAATTACATCGCTCTTTGCGTCATTAGATAATGGCGAGCAGTTAATTAGAAAAGGTTGTGGTGGTCCGAAACCGACCGCGAAGTGATGGTCCGAAACCGACCCCCATTTATTGGCAGCTTAATATGTCATAGCGTATTTTTGAGGGAAAATATGAAAAAGTAAACAAGATTCAGTAAAGAAAAGTAACAGAAACAGCAAAAACACCAGAAGAAAGCGAAGAGACAGTCATCAACGAGCGGCTTTCGAAAAACAACGCGAAAACTTACTATGAGAAAGAGGACAACTCAGACTTCATCAATTGACTACAGTGCCCTTTATTTCATACATTAATTTTTATTTTCTGGAAAGAACCTTCAATATATTTCTTAATAAACGTCAAAATCATTAAATTCTATTTTATGTTATTAAATTTTTCTGTTAAGAAAAAAGGGGGTCGGTTTCGGACCACTACTTTTGAGTACGACCAAAAAGTGGAGTTTTATATTTGCCTGAATATCTAACGCTTCAAAGCACCTACGCACTTACTAATCATTTAAATGTATAGTAAACTGATCCCTCTACATAGTAAATTTTTGAACTGAACTGAAAAATTGATTTTTCTCACCTTTATCGCCTTTGCCTTTTAGGGGGTCGGTATGGGACCACCCTCCCCTACTTATTTACATGTGCCAAACAACGATAGAAATATTTTCAATAATCAGTTTTACGGGTTTTAAAGAAATCGAGAAAATTTCTTGATCTATTAGTCCGACGTCCATATCGTTCGGAACTGAAGGTTTTTTGTTTCGGTCACAATCAGGACTTTGATCCAAAACGGATTTCCGTTTTTTGCTAGTTTTATTTTTAAAATAAACTTAACAATGTGCTTTTCAACAGTCTGAAAGTGCTAACAAGCAATTCGAAATTGTTCTGACATTGCTTTAAGAAACAACTTAGGAGATATCATTGTTTGATAGTTAGATAAATTGTGATTTTTAATTTCAAAAGCGTTTAAAGCATTAAAGCGCTCTTAAATTTAACCAAAACAAGATCAGATTTGCAAGGGAAACGTTAGAAACGTGTTAAATAATTAATGAGCCGTATAGGAATACGTTTACTTCCTGGTGTACTTCCTCTGATCTAAGATCTGCTTTGCCCTAAGGCTTTCACATGTCTGCCGTTCATTGTTTGTATGGTATTAATTAATTTAATTTAGGTTTTTTGTCTTTGCCACAGACTCTGTGGAAAGATTCGCATAAGTATTTTGTGCTCGCGTATGCTGAATTTATATGGACCCCTTGCACTCGAGAACCGCAACTCTTGAGCCGAGTATTCACCGCAAGCCAAGTTGTGTGCTCTGTTAAGTGGTGAACGCTTCCCGAATCGGCATCCCGGTTCCACTCCGGCTTCAGGCAGCCCTCCTCCCCACCGACCCCCTCCTCCAAGGACTGTCGATTCCTATAGGCCTTCAGAATAGGCGGTGCCCGCCTGACTGCCTTTCGGTCCTTCACTATGTTTGTGCAATGAAGCGTTGGGCTTTTATAACGCCAACAGTCAGCTGGGGGACTCCAGGATAAGGATGAGCGTAGTCAGTCATTGAAAAGCTGTAAAAAGCTGAAGGAAAATTCTTAATTTACAGAAAGAAAAAAGGAGCGCTCCGGCGAAATAAATGAAACGTAAGGGAAAACGAAAAACGAAACTTCACAACTCGCCGGGAGACGGGAGACGGGGCTTCTTTGCAGGGCAGTGCCTCAGGCTCCCAACAGTTTTGGTTCGTGCATCTCCCACTCACCTACACCCACCTTACCCCCACTCTTCCCATCCCTCCATCCCCCCTTCCGTCCAGTGTCCACGCACTGAAAGCTTTCCGCACCACTTGTCCGTTCCTTTGATTCTCACGGTTTTTTGATTTGAATGCCCATCCCAGGCAGCGGCTAAGAGACGCCTTACCTTACCTCGCCTGTTCGAGAAGGGCAGAGCTGTACCTTCGAGATACTTAGAAACGTATATATTTTAATATGCGCTTTATTAACAGCTCTAGATAGCTGACTACCCGGGCGGAAGTCCCGCTCAGCCATTCGGCCTCGAACGGTGGGTCTTCGGTCTGGATTGGCGGCCAGGTGGTCAGGAGGGAAGAGCCTTGGTCTCCGTGGACGACGAGCCCAAGGTGATTCCTAGCTGTCGTCGTAGAATCAATTTATTTCGATCGAGTTTTCTGCAGTTGGCAGAGCACTTTGTCGACCTCAAACCGTTGCCAGCTATCTTTTTCTAGTGCATCGACTAACACCAAATATCCGAATAAGTGATTACCAAATTAATATAGTGAATAAATGAATCTAAGAGCCGCTCACTTTGAATATTTATATATTCGATATACGGTAGTATGTGAAAATACATACTTTTTAAAGTCGGTAAACAAACAACGAAATATTTTTATCTCCTAATTTTGTCTGCCTAAATCCAAATTTAAAGGCGTTAATCTAGCAGCACATGAGACCGAGCTTCGCTGCTACGCCGCCTGTCAGAGCCGACACAAAAATTACATTTTGCTGGCTAATTACAAATTCAAATTAAATCACAAGTAATTAGCTGAAAGTCAAAGACAAACACGGCAGCGAAAAGGGGCGGGATTGGAATTTTGACAGCATTTTATGATTTACAAACGCAATGAAAATTTCTTGCCTAATGGTCTGTTGTTCCGGCTTGACAGGTGGGTGGTGGGCTGTGGGTGGTTGGGTGGTTGGGGGGCGGCTCTTAGGGCTCGGGGGTCACACGCACCCACACACTCCTGTGTGTATTTGCCTGCCAAATGAAAGACATTAAGAGCGACAACAAGCAGTCGAAGCGGGGGAGTCAGCCGTCAGCAAATGGGCAAAACAGGCGACACATTAAAATACATTTTTAATGTTGATGTGAGCGCGCCCGCCCTTTTCCTTCTGCGAAATCATTTTCTTCTTTTTGTGCCATTTCCCGCCGTGTTTATTATTTATACATGTATCTGTCTGTTTTGTCCTCTTTGACTTTTGACTGTTCCGATCCCCCATCTAACCCCCACAGCCCCCGCGAAATTCGCATTCCCATCATCAGCCTGACAGGACGTCCGCTAGAAAAGTAATCTAAATAATTACCTTTATTGCGATTTGGCCGTATGGTAATCAACGGGATGCCTGTCAAGTATTTTGAGTTACTTTTATGGCTTTCATATTAATGACTTTTAATTTTAAAACTTGACCAAAAACATTTGTCTTACCTGATAACCGGCCACGATATCATATGATCATACTGTTTAAGTAGCGAAGCGCGTCATGTGAAAATCGGAGTCAGAAATTACGTGAGTAGGTGTATCGGGGGAAATGTCAGTCAGAAAATGTTGTGATTCTGCCTAGAGCAGTCGAAAATTCCACAGTTGAATATCTTCGAGAGCTTTTCAAGGGTAATATAATATAATCGTGATTCCAATGGACTGTCCTCTTTTCAAGGTTTCCCGTCAGCGGGAGCGCTTCCCCAGACTGGCAGACTTGGGGAGCAGCCTGGGCAGCGCGGAGATCGCGGACGTGGGCTCCTGTTTCAAGTGGAGTCGCCCGATCATCCACGAGGCGGAGAGGAGGGTGGCCAGGGCGGCAGTTGACGCCAATGTGCCTCCGGCCAGGCTGTATCTCCGCTCCACATCTCGGGGAGTCCGCCGTGCCGTCGACATATTCATGCCTCGCTTTCAGCCCGACGAGGATTGGGAGGAGCAGTTGCCGGAGGACCGCTCGGAGTCCTCGGGTGGGTCTCTAGGCACACCGCCTCTTCCATCAAATGGAGCTGTTCGAAGAGATGATGCACCCAGTGCGATCCCCACCGAACCTTTCCCGGTTTCTCCGACGACGAGCGCTGACTGCAGCGCCTTGAGCATCTGGGAAAAGACGGCGATGAAAACAAGAAAACAACGCCCCTAACATCTGCTTCCAATTACACTAGCTCGGGGATGGGGTCTTTCGGAGGGGCTTCCCTCACAAATCAACGCGGGCAATTATTTTCTTGTTATGGATCTCGGAGGCGTCTCGCAGCCGTCAAAAGAGGAGGCGACAAGGGAAAAGCTTTTTCATTTGAGGAATGCAATGAAGAGCCCGGGAGAAGAATGCGAATTTGGCACATCGAAATTCATATGTATCGAAAGTGTAAGAACGATGGTTTTATAGCAGCCATTAAAAGATTTTCCACTTTTTAAGGCCCTTATCTTTCAAATTTATTCCAAATCAACACAATCGGTCTGTTCGTAAGATAATCTGAGCAAACATGACTTTATTGATCTTTAATAGTTGTTCAGAGCTTATAACAGCACTAAATTATGGAAGACATTCTTTTAGTCCTTAAATTTACAGTTCAAAAGGAAACTAGCTTCGGCGAGCCGAAGCTTATATACCCCTGCTGTCATTAAATATGTCAAATAAAATACATAAAGAATAAACAACATCCAAGTTATTTTCGACGATTGTTCATACGACAGCTATTTGTATTTATCATACAGCAGCCACATGAACAATAATCCAAAATATGGAACAGTTATAGAAAAATCGTTAAAGCTTCGATGTTGTTTTGCCTTTATGTATTTTGTTCGACATATTTGGAGACTGCAAGGGTATATAAGCTTCGGCTCGCCGAAGCTAGTTTCCTTTCTTGTTTTTCTGTTTTTTCTGTTTTCTTTCGTATCGAAGCTATCCGATATAGTCGCCCGATCCGTCCCGTTCCAACTTATATACTGCGTGCAAAACCTACACAACTTTTGGGAAAGTTTCAGCAAGAAAGCTTTAAAACTGAGAGACTAGTTTACATAAAAAACAGATAGACAGACAGACGTATTTCGATTCAGATCGAGATGCTGATCAAGAATATACAGTGGTGGCCATAAGTATTTTGACAAAATAAAAGTGAAATATACTCGAAACCTGAACTTGCTTCTTTTAACTTTTGGTATCAATGGAAAGGTAACTCAAATGCCGTTTGAATGATACCATACTTTTCTCAACTCATTCGATATTTATTGAAAAGGGCAAATAAAAAAAAAGTAAAAAAAAAACTTTTTTCTTCGGCTTCAAAACTAAAATTTTTGGATACAAAAAGTTTCTTTAAACAAAAATAATAGTAACTGCAAAAAGAATTTTTCAAAAATAAATTTTCTTCTATTTTTTATGATTTTTCAAATGTGACAATGTCGGAAAAAATTTGTATGGAAAAGAGAAAAATATGGCTTAAATGCGTATTTCTAAGCATTTTCAAAAAATCATAAAAAATAGAAGAAAAATTTTTTTTGAAAAATTCTTTTTGCAGTTACTATTATTTTTGTTGTGAAGCAAGTTCAAGTTTCGAGAATATTTCACTTTTATTTTGTCAAAATACTTATGGCCACCACTGTATATACTTTATGTGGTCTGAGGTGTCTCCTTCACTGCGTTGCAAACTTCTGACTGAAATTATAATACCCTTTGCTCTGCAAGGGTATAAAAAGAGGCATTAGGGCATTTTTAAATGGCTAATAACAAATTTATTCTTAATTTCAGGGAGCTGGATTTGGGTCTTAACCATTATTTGATATTTTAGTTCGATAAAAACTTGTCACTTTGACAATAGAACACGACGATAGAACGGTATTTTCAGCTCTGATTTTTTTTAAGTTAGAACAACGGCAAATAGATTCTACTTTAAAGCCAACTTACAATTTTCCAATTTTTTTTTTGGCAAATAGCGTTAAGTGTATATACCCTAAAAAACAAACTTTTTTCCTTAAGCGGCTAGAATGAAATTGAAATTGTTAATACGGAATTACATTAATTCTTTGAGTAAAACTTTGCTTTCTAGTTTGGTTTTTCTTGTTCAAGGAGTTTTCGAAAATGAATCTTGAAACTTTTCCCTGGGTCTGTATTTTATACCAAAAGGGGTTTTATCTATTTTTAAGCACTGAAGAGTCAACTCACATTTTTTGATTGCCACTATCCCTCCAGCTAGGTTGATTTTGGCAATGGTTCGAAATCAATATAATTGAAAGAAATATATAAAGTCCTTGCATTTTGATTGTAGTAGAATATTTTTACAATTTGTGTTACCTTTCCTTTTAGCCTTCGTGCTTATTTTACCGCCCTGCCTCCCAGCTGGCCTCCCGCTCCAGCAAACCCCTCCCCCACGTCCCAAACACGCTCATCCACATCCGCATCCTGCTCTCCGTGCCACCGCTCCTGCTCACTTTGCCATATGCTTTGCATAACTTAAGGCGCAACAGGAAACAAATGAACATTCCCCAGCGACGGAAGCATAACGAAAAGTGGGAAAAACAACATCGCAGCAGCAGCAATAACAAATAGAGCAGTGTTTTCCTTGTACTTTCGCCGTTTTCCCCACCAGTCGGGCAATAACAAATAATTCTGTAATATCATTTTAAAGCCGCGCACAAAAAATGACGCTTTAATACCAGCAGTTTACTTTGTTGCCCTGATTTTTATTTACCCAACGTGGAGATGTAACGCGTATGCAAAACATAAAGACGCAAAAATTTTTGGGCTCCCAAAAATCAAAACGGAATGCAAAATATACGAAACGTTAAGTTTATCCCCACTCATGCTCCAAAAGCGTTTTTTATTAACTGAAAAAAGAAAAGTAAAAGCCGCAAAAAACTTTTTATTTTGCTGACATAACTTTCTTATTTTGTTTTACTTTTCATCTTCTGCGATAACACCCTCCCTTTCCTTTTCCTGTGCCAAGTTTTCTTTGAACTTTTTCTCAGTTGTTTGCCTTTTGTTATTGTTGCAATATTCGGATAAATTTGTGGCCTTATAAATATTGCATATATCTTGGCGGAAACAAATATTTTCAACTTTTGTCGCTCAACTTTGTGCCAACAGTTTCGAGTGTACACCGATTCTCTTTCTTCATTTGAAAACGACAGGAGTGCTTATATTATGTTACCTTTAAACAAATTGTTATTTTAAAGAAAGAATTGTAAGCTCATACTGCAAGATACAGTGAACCCCATTTCGAAGAGAATATTTTAAATCGGAATTCGGACAAGAAACCAAAAGTTGTTCTCAAAGGTTCTTTGGGCCTAAAACGATTGCGACTCTTTTGTGTTTTCGGAAAGTTTTTGTTAAACAAAACTTTTCCTACGTTCAAGCTTGAAAAGGAAGCTTTTGCCGTATTTGAGTTCAGTTATACTCGTATATTCAAGGCTTGGCCTTCTTAATAAGTTGTACAAATATTTTAAATATTTCGGGAAACCTGTAAGCAGGACTCTTGGTTTATGGTGCGCTTTGATCTCCCACTTATTGATGTTTCGTGTGGAGCCTCCCCTCAGTTATCTTTTGGTCCTCGGGGTTTTCGTGCTTGACCGACTTTTCCGAACCCCTGAGTTTTTGGGAGTACGCTCGACAAGCCAAACTTGTGTGCTCTGTAATTATTAAAAATGTATTCCCATTAATTTAAATTAGCACACGCTGGGCAAGCCGAGAACAGCATCTGCAGCGCCAGAGTGGGAAATCCGAGTGGCTACCTTCGTCCTTTCGGATTAAAACTACAATTAAATTCGAATAAAACCAAATATCCTGCGGTGCTCTTTATGTGTGCGCTTGTAATATAAATCCTTTGGCTAATGGGGGCTACGCACACACTCGAGCACCAGCAGCATTCGGAGAGCTCCAACTGCTCGCAGCAGGCGGTCCACTGCCGGCCCGAAAAACGGGGGAAAAGAGCAATGAACTGAAAACACTGCTCGCAGGGCGGTGGGTCTGGGGGCTGGAGCAGCCAACAGTGGTCCTGGTCCTGGCCCACACTGGAGTTGGCCAGCGCACTCGTGTGGAGCCACTAATGAACAAAACCCAGCGCCCGCTCTGCCACCAGGTGCGGCGGTGGCACGAATGCTCCTCCTCTGGCGAGCTGCAGTTTGAGTGGCCACAGCGCTTCCCCGAAAAACATAATTTCTTTAAAGTTGTGTTGCTCGTGGAGAAACATTTTTTCGGCCTATGTATTCTAAGCCCACATAAAAATCGATATGGCTAACCTGAAGGTGGCTTACTTACATAGTATTTGAACAAACGCCGAATTGGGCTTTACTAAAATAGAGCGCTCGCCTTGTTTGCCAGTAAAAGTTTATTGGAAGACCGCTGGGCACCCAGCAAAAATTCATGTTCCTCGTAGAGTAAAAGGGTGTACTGTACTTGTTGAAAAGCACGAAGCAGGCAGGAGGAAGGTAGCTAGTTTCAAGTTTAAAAGATGTGCAACGCCCTCGATCGCGAAACTCTGTGTTCGTGGATTGAAGATTTAAATACTTTTGATGGGTATGTAGAGAAAGGGGTTACTACTACTTATATAGTAGTTTATTATTGAGTAGTGAACAAACTGAAAAGATTATTATTACTGAACAGTGTACAAGCACATGCTCTGATTTGAATTACAAAATCAAAGTGGGGAACGCCGTTTACATTATCAGCAACTTCCGCGGCACTCAGACATGGATGGGATGGCATTGCAGTTTAATGCGAATTTAAGTAGTTAATTGAAATTTGTTGCAATCGGCTCATGTTCCCCTCTTCGTGCCGCCAATGAAAGCGAAAAGAGCAGCTGAATAAAATGGTTGTGACGTCGTTTACTGGTTGTACAAGTTGCTGCTTCTTGGGGGCGCATTATCCCAAGTTCCCCTCCGATTTTGCTGAAAGCACAAAACCATAATTGTAGGCCATTAGGCTTAAAGCAGCGGCTTCTTGCCATTTCAAGTGCGCAGAGCTAAGCCGCAAGGCGGTAAAAAACGGCTGGGGTCAAACAAAAGGTTTTCCATCTGAAGCACATGACTGTGGCTTTTTTTGGCAGCTCTTATTAATGTCACGTGGCCGGGATTTAGTATGCAGGCCTCCCTGCTGTGCGACGATGCATGCGTCGGGAAAATGTTTTCGCATCAAATGCAGAGTGCGTGTCTGCCCAAAAGAATCAGAAGGCACGGAGGTCAGCGCACAGACGACAGAGGCCCCTCCCCCTCCCCTCCCGGCAATTATCATGCGCCCAAATTAGCAGGCCCCCCCTGTCACAGAGCCCATCAAAGTAAACTTTTCCCATGCGAAAAAATATCGAAACTTAGCAGAGGCAAATTACGCACACGAATTGCCCTGGACAATAAAAAGGCACAAAAAACCAGAAGAATAGCGAATAAATTATGAACAAGCGGGTGGCAGGAGCTCGGGGTGGCTTAACATCTACTTGCGCGCCTAATTTGTTGGAAAATTAGTTTTGTGTGTTTTGTGCGTGTAATTTTCATGCAAGCCGAGCTCGGCTCTGATGGAGATCTGCACTTGATTTTGATTGAAATACGCTAAGGAAAGAGCAGCAAGGCATCCTGGGCTGGGTGCGTGACCATTCAGTTACCTTCGGAAAAATATAAGACTCACTTTAATCGTATATATTGTATATAATTTCAATGTGATTTCGTACCGCTAAAATATGTTTCTGGGCAGTGTTTATATTAGCTCATCCCTTGAATTAATTGCAGCGGGTATTTACACGAGTCAGTCAGAAGAATGCACTCGCGACCACATAGAGTATATAATATATACTATATATTTACTCGTATAAATATGCCATCTGCCCTCTTTTTTGTTCAATTTTTATTAAGAGCTCGCTGGCAGATTTACTCTTTGTTTGTCGCCTGCTCTGCTTTTCAGTAAACATTCGCACGTTTTTCACTAAATTATTTTCTTTTTAGTAGTGTTGTCTTTTTGCCGCTCGTCTCTTTGTTCATTTCAATTTCCAGTTGCTTCTTGTGAGGCTTGGTGGGTGGAGGAGATCCCCTTTGATTATAAAGGCGTCACTGTTTTGCACTCATCAGTACCAGGGGCATTGTTATTTCCTCGGGCTGAAATCAAATTAAGAACGAAGGAAGCAGCATTTCGAACACACTCACTAGCGACATCACAAATTTTGAATACGTTTTAATAGAAATTTGTATTAGGGTATTTAACACAAAACACCATTATTAAAATTTAACTTGGTGCAGTTGAAGTTTTGACAAAACTTTGAGAAAGCTCCACACTATATATAAATATATGTCTGGAAACAGCTTTAATTGGTGATCCCTTCTTATAACGAATTTTGCTTACGCACTGGCTACCACACTGTATGAGCTGAGAATCTTAAGTGGTCAAATTGAAACAAACCTTTCAAAGATTGCACGTTAAAAATGATAGTGTTAGAATATTAAAGTACAACTAAATAACGACGTTATCATTTTGTTCCCATCAATACTAGTAACAATTTTCAATCCTTGCTATGACAGCTACATTAATATCAACAAAATTTCAATAAAATTTTATTCAAAATTAGTGCATAGTGTAATTATAGTAGTGATAGTTTTTTTCAATTTTCTTATTTCGTGCAATAACTACACAACTTTTTGTATAGTTTCAGTAAGGTATCTTTAAAACATAGGAACAGTATATGTCTAAGTAGATTTCTGAGGTGTCTCCTTAACTGCGTTGTAAACTTCTAACTGAAATTATAATTCTCTCTAAAGGTATAAAAAGTACTACTACAATTTTGGTGGAAGTATTTTTTTATACTTAAACAGCTAAATAACTTGCGCATTGAGTCCCCATCTCCGCAATACTCGCAATCTCCTGCGCAACTCGAAGAATTAGCAACGAATCGAACTGGGAACGAACGTTAAGTTTAATTCAATTAGCAGCATATTTTGCTGGTGAGATACAAAGGCATTGCGATACAGATACAATGCACGCAGATAGGGGCAATTTATGGGGCTCATGCCATTGTCAGCATGTGGCTTCGGAGCCCCTTTCCGTCCCCACATGGTTCTGTGTGTTTTGACTCTGCAGGTCAAGACGAGGGCGAGGAGTCGCAGGAAGGGAAGTCCCTGCTGTTCGCACTCGATGGCATGCGATCTTCGGATGCTTTAAATGGATCTTGGGAGGAGGCTCTGCATTTTTTATGGGATTCTGTAAGAAGAACTGAGGCATTCACAGGGTGCTTTGCGCCGAAATGATTTAAAGTTTGCGTGTGGGAATATTCTTGTTTGACAAGCAGCAAAATGATTATTTCAAATGCAAACTATAATTTAAAAATCTTTCCCAAACTCTCTTATACTTCGATCTACTCCAAACATAAAGTAGAATGGTGATCTGTGTTTGTTGAAACGTTTGTAAGGCTCTTAGAATATACGATGCAAATTTGTCCCGCCTGTGAATGTTATGCTCGCTTATCGTTTCTATATGTGTTGTATTAAAATCGCAATCGTACAATTAATATATTTAGAAATAATTTCTTTAGGGCTTGGTGATTTTGTACTAGCCTAATCAATAATTACTTTTAGAAGACGAATGGGCCATATTTCCTTAGCAGTTTCATTCGCACACGCTGACTCTCTCCACAGAGTCAACTCAATGAGCCATTAAGACGGAGCTTGCCAGCGTATTTGATGGAAAGCAGCCAGGGGCGGGGCTGACGGGTTGTGTTAAATGACAAATTACAAGTATTTACATGGGAAACACAAGATGCCGCGATGCCACGACGCCAAGATGCCAAGAAGACGACGAGGTGGCAGTCTGCGTAATCGATGCGGGGCGCGCGTGTCTCGAGAGCCGCTGGCTGAGGAGCTCTTGAAACCACCAAGGTGGTGCAGGAAAACCACACGGCGGCAGAATACCACGCGAATGACAATCGAGCTGATGGCGGCAGTGCAGCCACGACGGCTAATTGAGCTAAAAAGTCAGGACAAGGAATGCATTCCTGGCGCCACCTGTCGGCCGACTTCTCGTGCAGTCTGGCGCTTGTACATATAGGCGCCTCGAGCTGATTGCGTTAGCGATATCTTGTAATGCATCCGATGCAGTGAAAGCTCTAAATGGGCCTAATGTTGGTGGGCGACTCACGAAAGTTGATTAAAATTCTCATTTGTGACGGAGTGGCAGGCTGAGTTCAGAAAATCGCTCAAAATGACGGGTACATTTGGGTGGCAACTCAAAAACTCCGCATAAAAATTGCATAACAATGAAATGTAAAAGTACACTACTCCACAACATAACAGTTTATTCAAATAATAGGTTAGTATAAAATCGGCATTATATTGGGACTATTGTACATTAATTTTCATGAAACAAATTATATAAAAACAGTTATGTGTTATGAATGAATTTTAAGTTACATTCCGAAATTATTATTTGTATATTTATTATTTCAAATTAAAGTTTATATTAATAACAAACAGTTGGGTTCTTCAAATTAGTAGTAGATTGTTGTTAATTCTACTTTTTTGGCCCTTTTGAAAACTCATTATTTTAATGTAATATTCAATAGAAATGATTGAAAGAAATCAATAATTTATTGAAAGCATACAGTTTAAGAAACCCATTTTACCCGTTTCCACTTTCAATTAACTATTTGAATATAAAGATCAACGACCCTTAGGATGTCAGTTTTGAGGCAAATAATCCGATTTTTCTTTAATTTTTTTTACAGTTTTACAAACATAGCAAGTCAAGCGTAATTTTCCGTTGAACTTAGACAAACTTTTTTCTTCGAGGTTATCGGGTTATGTTGATCTGCGAGGAATGTTTTAAAATGATTAATTCAAGTTTAATAATGCCATTTTTACGAATGTACGTATTTTTGGACAATCTCTGGCGAGGCCTGGGCCCTTCAATGCATTGGTTTCCTCTGCCATCTATGGGCACTCATAACGACACATTTTGCTATCGCCTTTGGGAATCGCGACACAACTGACCCACTGGACGCACAAGCCTTGGAATTTCTCGGCAATTTAATTTGTTCAATGAGGCGCAACGGGCAAGATATCGGAGGAACTTAACATTGCGGGGAAGTCTTTAAGACAAGTTAACTTACTTACAGAAGAGCTGAGGTGAGATTAGTCGATGCTACTTTAGCAGACACTTGCATGCGGAACCAGCATCAAACACTGTGCCATCCGCATGGACGACGAGGAGATCTTGGGCCGACCTGCCCAGCGGTGGCACTTGGTCGTCTGTTTATTTTCATAGGCGCAGTTTTTAATTAAACTGACTCCGATGCACTTCAAAGTGCCAACTGCTATTTATAGGAGATCAAAGCGAGTCCAATTACTCAACGCCAGCTTGCCATGCACTTTTCCGAAGTTGGCAATGAGCTAGAGAGCCGCACCGGGACGTGTCCCCCTGTCTTAAATTAATTGCAGAAGCACTCGCCCCGGTGGGCGTGGCAGGAAATCAAAGAGCAGATCGTGCAAATGGAGCCCGTCGCTGCCCGACGAGCGGAACAGTGAGGCAAGGTGTCAGAAAATTCCAGGGCCTCCGCTCCAGAGTGTTTGGGGGTTTGGGGTGCCGTCCTAATTACGCGGAAAACCTGCCACACAGCGAGCGCACCATTTGAGGCAGTCACACGACTTTCAAAATCAATTTCGTTCAACAATAAATAATTTTTAATAAATTGCAGGCAAAATGCAACTTCCTGCAATTAAAGGCCAGGCAAACCGGCCCGTTCTGCTTGCCATTCTGCTGGTCCGCTCTCCTCCGCACTCGAGTGCAATAAAAAATAATTGAAAATTCAGTCACGTAAACTTTTCCAGCCGTCTTTCTCTCAGATCGCGGATCGCGAGTCTCGACTCATTAATCCATGGACGCTGGCGAATTGTAGAGTCGAAGGTGATGGGAAAGCGGAAAGATCATGTTGCTAAAACGAAATTTGTAAGTGATTCAATAAAATATAGTGAAAAAGCCAGAGAAAATTTTAATAAAATGGTTCCTAGCGGTTGTTGAATTTATTGGACTTTGTTTTGGGATATTCATTTTCTCTATAAATATCGTATTCTCTCTATTCATGAAAGGCAGCGAAATATGAAACTAAGTATACAGACGTTTAAAGCGTCATGAATGGCATTTGCTGAGACTTGAACTCCTTTCTCCTAGCTTCTCCCGATAGTCACGAACTAGTCACGCTTCCATCTCTACGCGGGCAGCTGGCTCACAGAAAAGCACGCGACTTGGCTTATCAGACAGCGACAATCGGCGAAATGGTCTGAAAAGTGGCAGTGGGAGGGGGGAGTACGAGTATTTGGGTTAAAAAGGCGTGCACGCAATTTACTCCGCAAGGCGAGGACCGAAGAAGGGATTCGTCGTTAAGATCGCTTGGAGGGGGACTCTCGGTCTCGACCCGTTGATGATGCGTTTTATTAGGAAGGAGTTCGGCTGCACAAGTAACATATGTATGTAAGTTGAGGCTGCGGTTAATTGACTGCGCTCGCTGGGCCTTCGATTGCCGGTGGGCGGAGACGAGGTGCAGGTGCAGGTGTCGCAATCCAAAGACAATCTAATCCCAGCTTCGGGTCCCCGCAGCTCCCTCAGCTCCCGCAGCTCTTTCGCGAGCTCTGCCCCTCCGCCAACAGAAGAGGGGATGCCATCGGGGCTCCTTTCTGACAGCAGTCCCTCGAAATAGAGGAAAGTGTTTGCCACATTTTTTGCTTGGCAGACGCAGAGTGTCAGCCCACTGCGACGAGGGGATGTTGCAGCCGAAACGATTTCCAGAGCCACCGGTCCCGACCCTTTGTCTCTCGGTTTCTTTCCCGAACCCCCGGCTGTTACTCACAGTTGCGACGAAATTGAAAATAAATTTTTAATGATTTGCTTCTGAACTCGGTGCTTTGAGCTGGCTGAAAATATTCGCTCCGTATCCTGAGCACCGAACGAGGGTGGAGGCGGTTCAGTGAACTGCCCAAAGACGAAAATTGCATCCAGTGAGTCACCTCGTGATCAAGTTTGGCAAAAATGGCATTGATTTCACGAAATGTATCCCTCGTTTGCCAGGACCAAATCGAGGCACAGAAAACCAACAATCAGCTGAAATAATCGACGTGTTGGGAAGAGGAGAATCGTTCTTGTTTTAATGCAGATTTATGGGCGATTGAATTCGCCCGAGAAGCCCACGGGTTCACTGACTTTCCCGAAAAGCAGGCACACACTAATGAATAATGTGCAGGCTCCAAAGTATCCGACAGATACTTAACTTCATGCGGCTTGTGCGCAAATTCAATATGCCAATATACGGCCAGGACACTCGAGGCTGTCAGGAGCACGACATGTCCAGCTCTCATGTGCGGGTGTGGATAATGAAGTGCTGCAGCTGCAGATAAAGATACATTTGACAGAAGAAAACTTGAAAACAAATAAGCCGAGACAAAAGACATTAGAAATCTAATAGCTCCTGTCGACTCCGTGTGTGCTCGAATGAACTCTGAAGGATATCGTAAATGTGACAACAAGCCGTCGTTGTCGTTGTCGGTGTGTGCGAGCTTGCACACAATGAGATACAAATGTATCTGGATGTCACATCAAGTGGGCCGTGCCTGAGATGCTTCGGCGACGCCTGCAGACGCCTGCAGACTCTTGCGGCCCTGTGTGTTTTGGTGTGGTCAATGGAATTTGCTTAAGAGGATTTCAAAATTTTAAATTAAGTAGCCGGCTTTGAGTCAAAGCTCTCCTGCATCCTGCGGTTTGCTTGCATAATCGGCCTCGTCAAGGGAAATGCAATTTTAATGCCCGATGAAAGTGGCAGCCCGGAGCGAGTGCGGATCTCCAATTTGCTGTGGCTCATTGTTTAATGCTCGGTTACTCCCCAAATGTCCGTGCTAATTGAACACGGACTTTCTGCGCCGCCACCGAAAAGTATCTATAGGATGCTGCCGCTCCCTGCTCAGCAGTTGACCCTATCCCAAAGTCAATTTGTCGTTGTACTTAGCCGCACACATAAATTCCCCAGGTCCAAGCCGAAGTCCGGGTCCTGGCCCAAACCCAAGCCCCGTGTTCACGTTGCACATTACAACTTTGAATGCCAACTCGCAAATGAACTATAAATAAATAATTTCACTCGCAAGAAAGACGAACGAACACCGACAGTGCTCAGGGGTCATTGTGAAGAACGAGAGCGAGGGTCGGCACCACAGATCTAGCTTACATCTTTGGCTACTCCAACCAGTGTTCCTGGTTGTTGTCCCAGAACTAACATTGGCGCACTAAACGAATTTCATGCGCTTTTCAGCACCAATCCACTCTAGATAACACATTTTATCAAGCAAGAATGGTTTGCAGTAGACAATATCTCTCTTTTTGCAACCGCGAGAGATTCTCTATTCTATTGGCAGCATGGAAATACCTTTCCGCGAGCCAAAGAAGTTTGCAATCTGCCCTCTGTCCCCACACGCTGCCAAAAAGTATTCGTATTTTTTGGGCTGTCAGAAAAACGGAAGTGAAGAAGGTGGGGGAATGAAAAAGGAAACTATCGGACGAAGCGGAGCGGTACGTAACGTTCGCCGGCAACAAATCGCCGGAAACGAAAGAAAACAAAGGGACCCTCCGGCATGTCTGCAGCAGACACAAAGATACACATCCGAGCGGGCAGGTATCTGCCGAATAAGCCGAGTGTACCATACAATGCTCGGCAGCACCGGCGGCGGCAGCAGAAGTCATGGCGAGCCCCAGCTACAAGTTCATTAAATAAATTATTCATACGCAACGTGTGCCGAACCAAAATGGCAACTGACGCTTCGCCGCATTTTTTCGCTTTCCACATACACACACACTCACAGATACACACACACACTAACAGACACTCACACAACTGCCCGTAAGGACATTCGCTGGCGAATATTCATTGGCAGTTTGTTTTATTTGTCGACGACTGTGGAATAAAAACGCATTGGGCTTAAATATTTATGCGCAAACGTCTGCTTTTGTGTGGGTATCCGCCGCTCGTGTGTGCGTGGGCCAAGGTGATGTGGCGCCGCGAACAGAGGGCCGCTTTCACACCCCACCAGTCACCAGTCACCTGGCGACCAACATTATGGGGCTGACCCTCGGGGTGAACAGTTTAAACACGTCTTTTGCCACTTTCCATACTCTTCCCGAACGCCAAAGACGAAAAGAACGAAGCCATTTTAATTAAAGCTGCTCCAATCGCAGGGAAAAGAAAGAAGAGTTGCTGTTCCGAGGGTCGCATTTGCATATGGTTATAAAATTGTCAATTGGTAAATGGAATGCATAAATAAAGTTACTGAGCTGGCGATTCGCTTTCTACCTCAGGTACACCAGCGAAAATTCGGAGAGAAGAATGTAAATACTATTTACATAAATAGAAGAATGCAAATTCCCCCGAACAACAAGTGAGTGAGTACATCAATGCACTCCGAGGTCCAACTTGTATTTCTGACAACTCCTGTTCGTCCTTTTGTGTGCCGTATTTTAAAGTTTGGCTGACAAGTCTGATGATTTGTGGTTAGATGCACTTTCTATACCCTTTCAGAAGGGTCAACGCATTAAGTTTGAAGTTGGCAACGGTCTGCCAAATCAACATTCTTATATTTGATCCTTACATCTATGCTATAACACTAGACCGATTCGTTTTTTGCAGCTTCGAGTGGGAAGGTGACACTGTTTATATTGTGAAAACTTGTGCTTAAATTATACGGATTAATATATATAAACGGATTACCATTTAAGTGCAAGGGTATCAACACTTCGTCCAGAAGAAGTTCATTTTCGTTACAGTTTTGGTCCTGTATTCCTTTTTGCCAATGCTGTTCATGTAAAAACCACGAGATTGAATTTTAAAAAGTTTGCGGCCAAATAAAAGTTTGAAAAAATGTCACAGGTCCATGGCAAAAACCTGTGTACGGGCGTGCTCCGCTCTCCACTTTTGCGTATTCAGCAGAACAATTCATTTTTATTTCTAGGTGCTCCGGTACTCAAAAATTAAGTAAATTTACGGCAAGCTGTTAGCTATTTTTTCACCTATCTGAAGCGTATTGTATCAACAGCTGGTAGAATCCAATCACAATTTTTCGCTGCCAAACCTTACAGTTGTAAAACAGTAATTCACGTAGGCCCCAATAAGATATAATGTGTGAATTTAATTGAATGTTTTGGAAGTAAGGAATCCTTTATATTTATAAAATATTATATAGTTTAAATATGTTATAAATTGATCATCCAATGATGATGATATAATAAGAGAACCTTCTTGTAATAAGACTTAATTTAACAAATACGTTTTTCATATTGTAAAAACTGGAAGACAATAGGTCTTAACATAATTCGAAAAGTAAAGTAAAAGTTTCAAAACAAAGAGGAAGGTAACTGGCTTAAACTCCAGTCCACGAAGAATGTTTTCCTTTTGTTAATCTATGTCAGCTGTATAGTAATTTGTTAAATGTGTCAAGTTTTCTATTACTTTTAATGTTTTCCTATGGCAGCTTTATGATATTGTAGTCCGACCATTATATTGAAGTTATAATGATTTTTTTATAAATTTGATTTAAATTCTCAGATTGCTCCTATGGGAGAAAAACATTTTAAAGCATTGTTATAAAAGCCTAACGGTATATTTGCTTAATATATTTTAATTTATAGATATTGAACTTGCATAAAACGCTTATAACGGTGAAAAAATATTTTCCCAATATGGTATTATTAGGCTGTGAAATATGCAAAAACACGCGTTTTTGGGACCTTTGAGTGTGCGTAGAAGCTGATTGGCTATTGATATTAACAAATCCAAAAACTTATATTCTTATTTTGACTATTAGAAGTGAAAAATAAGAAAAAAATCAACTTAAACATTTTTTTGTCGCACAGTGTTATTTGTTGCTTTATTTTAACTAGACTTTTTATCTAGATGGCTAATTAAACTCAACTTGTGTTTTGATCATATCCTACTTTCGGTTTACTATACGGTACATCTTAAAGCTTACATTGTAAGTGTTTGTTTTGAATCTAGTCGCTTTTATTTTTCATAACATTTAACAAAAATACGCATTTGCACATTCGACTAGCAGCAGGGGATCAAATGTACGTATGAGAACGATGAACAAACTGCAACCGCAAAACATGTATGTACTATGTAAAAGCGGGGTGGGCCAGTTTTCTATGTAAAATAAACAAATTACAGACTAATTTTCAACTGGTAAAGACTTCAATAATGCTGTTTGTTGGACACAATGAGAATCGGCCCTGTAGGCGGGAAATCTGATTCCGGAAAGCGACCGCGTCAGCACGCCATCAACCAGAAACACAACAAAAAAGTTGGGGGTCCACCCCCAACGGTCCTTTTTACAGTATACAGTATACCTTTGGCACTACATCATTTATTACATTTCATTTTTGCAATTGCACCAAAATCCATGTTTGCGGTTAATGGAAAATTCATTTATTAAATAAAATGTATTCAACACGCCACCGAAAGTGGCTCACTGTGGAAATAGTTTGCCAAAGACCCAATACCAAAACATGGGTGAAACAGGGTCGGTTTTGCTTCTCCACTGACCCCACTCCTTCTCCCTCGATCGCTCGTGTATGCAATACCTTTATGGCGTGATTTTGATACGGTCTTAGTGTAAACAACAACAACAGATACCCCTCAATCAATGGGAGTGATTTATCCCTTCGCAGCTGTGTGGCGCCACAGAATTTTCCTTCGGAGCTGTGATCCTTAATTACCAGAATAATCAATAACCAATAATCACTCTCAACACTCTAGCACTTACAGTTTCCCGGATCTCGACGTTTATACGACCGGACAGACATGCAGATTATGAATATTTGAGTACTTAAGCCTATTATACACTTATTTTTAAACAAATAC